CATGCTTAGTAGAGGCTGATCTTTGATCGGGCGAGCGGGGGTGCTCATTTTAGAACCTTCCCCTCTCGTACCCAAGTTCCCGAGCCGAGACAACTTCGGTGATGACGGACATGTGGCCTTCGGCATCGAGTCGGGGTTTCCTAAATTTCCCCATTTTAAAATATTTAGGTGGCGACTCTGTATCTGGCAAAGCAGTCCATGTTTGGCACTACTTTTTCAAAAATCTGTTTCTCAAAACGATTTGCCAGATTTGGACTCTTTGGTTCAGATTAAGAACCGCGACAACAAAAATCGCAAGTCCGAACTGTAGTAGCACGAGGCCCCTCCGCGGGCGCGCCTACACTATTCTACTTAATGAAACTTATAGATGGGTGGCTATTTGCTAACTCCCTTCACATCCACACAATTCCCATCAACACATCTATATACAACCACAATGAATTATACCTCCAAAAAGCATGAAAAGAGTACAAAATATAGAAAATAAAGGAAACAATCAACTCAATAGATGGGTGACTGCTTTCTACTTCCCTCCATGTCCACGACGACTCATCACATGATTATAACAAGCTAATAATGAAATTCAGAGCTTAAAGATGAAGAAAGTGAGAAAAGTTCAAAAGTTTCACCTCTTAAAAAAAAGTGTGTTTCTTGGTTGTCAAACTCCTTCTTGGCACCCTTAAGGTTCTTTAGATATAGCTTAGAGTTCTTAGAATCCTCAGCAAGAAACTTGGAGTTAAGCTTTAATGGAGTTTGGGTGGTTAGTGTGTGAGAGATCTCAAAAACAAGTCTCTTGGCCTTTGAAAATTTGTAACCCTTGAGAAAGAAGTCTAGTCATGTATTTATAGAATTTAGGGGTCAAAATATGTAAGATATTTGTGGAAAATTCGCAAAAAAAAAGAAGAAGATAAAACTCCTAAAAATACTCTGTACCCAGACATTTCAGCCGGTCGTACCATTATTCATCCGGTCGACTACATTTTTAATCCGGCCATGAGATGTTGTACGTCTAGATGAAAAATACACTGTTAGATAAATAGGGTAAAGCTAGCATGATTTGAAAGGAGAAACAAGTATTTTAGAGGATTTCACCATTTCCATTCATTTCCACTATATCATTCACTCGATCCACTAAAAGACACAATGTTTGGAGTTTGAAAAGGCGAGCCTCAGGACATTGTAGAAATGTTTGAAACTGCACAACCAAAAGTACTTTGAAAAAGGGTTTTAATTTGGTCTAAAATGTTTTGGCAAAAACGGTTGTAAGGTTGGAATTAAAGCCAGAGTTCGGACTTCTTGCTAAAGAATTTGTAAGATTAGCTACCACATATAATAATTAGCATTTAATTAATTAAGGAGATTTGAATTTTAAATGCCCATTATTCTAATTTAATCTGGGATTTATGAAAATTATGGGGACTGATTCGTATACAATTCAATTGAGGATTTATTTTGGAATTAGAAATTGAAAGCCTAAATGGCTCAAGAGAGTATAATTGGTAAATTGAATTATTTTAGTTTCGAGTAACGGACCATATGGGAGTGTAATTAAATATTTGATACAATTTAGTAAAATTGAGATTTTATTAAGTGGGTCCAAATTGGAGCTACTTAAGTTATGAAGATTAGGAATTAAAATTATGATGAATTAAATTTATTTATGAGGTGTTCAATTGAATATGTAATTTAATGACAGAGATTTTGAGTTTTATTTGAAATTAAAGGCCTTAAAGATTTGGGAAACCAAAATGGATGATGGAAATAAGTTTAATTTGATATTTGGAGCCTTTTGGGAGTTTGATTTAAAATCTGATTCAGATTGATAAATTTAAATATAATTAATTGGGCTATAATGGAAGTCAAATTAGATTGATTAAATTATGTAGGATTTGTGATTAGTTATGATTAATTTAATTATGTGTTTATCAAGATTTATTAAGACTAAAGAGTTACTTAAATAAATTAATCCTAAACATAAATTGAATTATAGAAGAATCTAGCATTGAGAGTGTATGTGTGTGCATGTGAGTGTTGTGTTTGAAGCTCAAGAAGTGTGCACGTGTGCTGGTGTAGGGCCAACAAGAAAGGCATGTGTGTGTATATGTTGAGTTAAGAGTGTTGGATCATTCATTTGTTGTATTGGAAGAAGGAAGGAAAAAAAAAAAGAACGAAGGAAAGAAAGAGAAGAAAATCGAGAGAGAGAGAGAGAGAGAGAGAGAGAGAGAGAGAGAGATCAACTCTATGTGCTGAAAATGGTGAAGGAAAGCGATGGAAAAGCTTGGAAAAGGTGAAGAATTGAAGAGAGACTCAAGAAATTGAGAAGAAATTCATCAAATTGAAGGTTTTAGGTAAGAAATGAAAGCTCAAATCTTGAAGATAAATCATTTAGAAGCTGAAATTAAGAGATAATTAGGTTCAATTTCGTGTAAATTAAAAAAAAAATTGGGAAAGGATGAAGTAATTTGAAGATTAATTATATAAACTGATAGGAATTGGGTTTTGCATGTTAAATCATGTTAGGATGAAGAATATGAGTTATGATTCTTTAAATTTGTTAAGTTTGAGTTCAATTTTGAGAATTATTCTTGAATTAAGTTCTATAAATTACATGCAACAAGAATTGTTTGAAGATTTGATCCGTGCAATAGATAATATAAATCACTTTGAAGAAAAAGTTTTAAAAATCATGAGTTCATGAAATTTGAGAGTTTGATTTTGCAATTAAAGTAAGTTTTGATTTAAATGAGTTGAAGATTGATCATGGCTCATATTTATTTTCATGTTTTGATGAAGTTTTGCATGAGTTTTGAGCATGAAATTGGGTTTTGAAAGCTTAATTTATGTTTTAGAATTTATGAGTTTGGAATTGGGTTTGATATGAAGAAAATGAACTAAATCAAACTTCGGACGAATTAAGAAGCAAATTATGATTTATATTTGAGATGAAGTTTGGAAGATTAAACTACAGAAAATTTACAGATCGCTCAAGCAACCAATTGGCGGCTCGAGCGAACATTACGCGTTTTCAGTATTTTTACAGACAATGCAGTCTGCTCGATCGTCCAAGTGGTGGCTCGAGCGGTCAGGCTATTTTCAGCATGTTTTAAAAAATTGCACTTTGTTTATATTTTCATCTCATCTCCTCCCAAGGTGTTCTAGACATGGTGCTTGGCTCAATAAAGATTAATAACCTGCCAATCAACATAAATTAGTTAGTTAAAGAATAAATCATTGACCTAGTAGTAATTGTTTAAGAAGCCAAGCAAGAAATTAGTCTATTTGGAAAAGAATGACTTAGTAATGAAGGAATATGTAAAATGTGAACCCAATTCATCTGAATAAAGAAAGAATATGTGTAGTAAAACTTTGGATTACTTAGACAGAAAAAGACAAGAGAAGTCAAGTTTGATCAAGGAAGTGATATTGTGTTCTAATGTGTATATGTTATGTGTTTGTGTAGGTCACGCGCTATCATCTACCTGATCTATCTAATCTGTCTAATTTGCTTCTGGAGCTATTTGTGCGTAATAACTCTGTAAAGCTATGTTCAACTTTAAATATTTTTTGAATGATATGACACAATCAGGTTTCTAAAATGCTATTTTATGATTAAATGAATGATTGTCCAACTTTCTTAAATTTATTCATGGCATCCTTAGAATCATGTGATATCTGTTATGTGGCCTGGTACCATGGTTGGTTATGCATAACCGTTTATCTGCTTTGTATACGTCCCTTTATGGGTCATCTACACCGTCCGATGTAATCATGGGTCATATGTACTATCTCATGTAATCATGAGTCATCTGTTAGCGCTATTGGATGTAACACATATGACAAGCTCTAAATTCTGCATATGAATAAGTATAAGAATCTATTTCTGATATGAAATCTATTTTTTGAATCTGTTTTGAACATCATTCATAAAACCTTTACTTTGTTATTATTCACCGGGCTCCAGCTCACTGTTTATCTATGTACGTAGGTGATCAAGTGCGTGACCAGGTTTAAAAGTGTCTGCCTGGAATATGTTTTTGTCAGCCAACCTATGTGCCTCCCGTGGAGGTTCTGCATATGTCAAGTGGTCAAGGCTATGTGATTAAAGTTTAAGTTTTTGTTTATTCTATAATTAGGACTAAGTCCCTTTTTGTCTAGTCTGTACATATGTGATGAAGTAAGGGTGATGTATGATATATGTATATAAAAAGTTTAAATTTTTTTTTTGTCTCATATAAGGTTGTATAGCACAATGGATGTTGTATATTTGTTATTTGCTTCCGCTAGCTTCTAATATTAAGTTAATCTGTCTCAGAGGCCTTCGGTAATCCCAGGATTACTGACTGGCTACGATGCTAAACCTATAGGGGTGGATTTGGGCCGTGACAGAGTAATATCAGAGCACGAATTAATATCTCACACACGTATCCATTGAAAATTAGAATGTCTGGAAAATTTAAGTTTTATGCATATAGTAAGTAAGTAAGTAAGTAAGAAGTTGTGCATTCAAAATATATATATATATATATATATATATGTTTGTGTAATGCGTTTAAGTATTGAAACTAAGAATTAAGAGCTATTACGGAATTTTGATAATTATAAGGAAATTAGAATGTGTTTAATAAGTTTAGGAATGAGGCTAAAAGCTACGAATTATTATGGAATTTCTAATGTTATAAGGAAATTAGAATTTTTGACCAAAGCATTGGTGAGTACAAGTATGTTGATTTGTGGAAACACGGTGTTATGAAGAGTTAGAAACTTTAATGGAAGTCATGAAAGCTATATGGATTATATGTCAAATTAGACTATGAGAATATTTGGGAAATTGAGGAATTTGATGATCAATGAAGTATGTGGAACTATGGTAGTTGAAGACGAGAAAGATTATTTGATATGTAAGACGGCATATAATTTGGCAGGAAACCTATTATGTGAAATTTTGAACCGTAGAGTCTCATACTTTTGTTGAATGACCTTGAAAGTCCAATTGGAATCACGTTTGGTCAGCGTAGCTTCAAATCGGAAATTCTTGGTAAATTCCATGGGAATGAATAGGTAACCCTACCAATGTTCTTATATGTCTGTATGTGTATGTCTATTTGTATATGATATGTGCTTTGTGTTATAATCTAATTAAGACCAATTCAAATAAAGTCACACATATATAAAATTTTAACTTCAGATTTCTATACATGTATTTAAAACATTCCTACCAATTCCCTAGTTTTTAGTTAAATACTAACCTTTGACCGATTAAATTACTCGAGCCTTCCTTAGACTTTGGAACAATCAATTATGTGATGCCCCATCTTCCCATACTTGAAACAAGCTCTGGTAATTTGATGACACAATCCCCGATGAAGCTTGTGACATATTGAACATACTGGGACAAACTTACTACCCGTACAACCTTGCTTAGAATTACTCGTCTCTCCTACCACAAAATTCTTAGTCTTCTTCCTTGGTCTACTTTTTGCCCCCACGCCTAACTTTTTGTTTTCTTTTTATTTTGATCTTGTCAAGTATTATAGCATTGCACAACCTTTATCATATTCTCTAGCACTTCTTCTATTGTATCTAATCGTTTTGATAAAGACTCAACCTCCACTTCATTCATACCTTTCATCATTTTTGCCTAATGACAGAAGAGAAGGGTTAAACACAAGAAGATGGTTGATAAAGTTAAGCTAATGAAAATTTCCCTACTTAATGTCCGAATAAGTATGACTCAATTTATTGAAATCATATCGCTATGGAACCATTTGAAAACATTGAAAGTAACAATTTTGTGACATATTGAATTATGAATCTGAAAGGATCACCCTTTTCCCCCCTCAATAAAAAAGGAGGGAGGGGGCATAATAATTTTCATACATGAACAATAGTGATAGAAAACATATCATAAGCAAATGATAGAGTTAGGATACATTGCTTGGATAATTGAAACTTAATCCAAAATTGTCTACATTAGAAGGATGAGATCAAGACTTAAAATAATTTGAAAAACAAATCAATTAAGATCATATTCATAACATTAGAAGAGAAACACTTGTGATTTACTTAAGTTATAAAGTCCAAATATATATATATATATATAGACCTTTAAGCAAATAGACATGGAAATTTCGTATCCGAATAGTGGTTGGAAAGGGAACATATTATGATATTATAGATACATAATTGGATTTAGATCTTGAATCCTAACTTAGAAAGCCTAACACATTGTAAAGAAATTCAACTCTAGTGTTAAATGGAAGAAGGAAAGCATAATGGGAAATAAGAAAATGAATTTCATTAGAATGATAAACATATATTTCTTAAAGAACCTTTGGGAACATAAGAATTTTAGTTGGCTAATTGTAATGATTTGAGAAAGTTAATAGTTTAGCCCTAAGTTACCATGTGACAATTCATCAAAGTCAATGAATATATCTAAATAGGTCTAAGAGTTGGAATAAGCATGAAGACAATATAATTTGAATTAGTTAAACAAGTATAAACTTAGTTACCAAAAGTAAATAAGGAAGCTAACAAGATCGCGTAAAACGTAGACCTGTTCTGAAATTGAATCACCACTTTGAAATGATAGTATGAGAAAGATTGTTAAAAAAAGGGTAATCTTAATTTAACGAAAGTATATAAGTTCTGCTTTGATCTATATGTCTGTCTAATGCTATTTGAATGCAACCCAACATCTGTCATTTTCAAAAAGACTCAATGAATTTCTGTAAAAATATGCTTCTGTTAACACTCTGCTACACTTCTGTTCTGAATCCGATGTGCCCTTCTGTTTCGAAATTACCATAATTATTAGTATCCAAGATGCCTGTTGAAACTGAGACCATTAATACGTGATTATATTTCCATATAATTTGGAATTTTCTGTTATAGATTAGCATGTGAAACCTTAATTGGGAATACTATATTCTATATACGACTTAAAACCTTCTAACACGATCAATAAAGGTTAAACGACCGTTCTTTTGAGAAATAATGAAATACAAATTGCGTAGAAGAAAAAAAATGTGTCGAGACTATTCTAGTCAATAGACTTGAAAGACTAAGAACTTGTATTTGTTATTAGTGATGCATTGAATATTAAATTTAATTTAAAGACCTCATATAAAATGTCAATTGCGGAATATTTTGATCTATTTGAAAGGTAAGGAGAATTATGAATATCCCTTGAAATAAATCTTCTACTATTTGGAGTATATGAATTATAGATTGATTAATCAAAATATATGAATTATGTGATTGATGACAAAAGAGACGGTAATGAATCACCAATTTGGATTCGTAACCGTTAAGTGATTGGGAAATAAGTCCAATTTCTGCGAAGAAAATCCAAAGAAAAGGAAGTTACTTTGGGGAGAAAATGAAATGATATATAACTAGTTTTCAATACAAGTACCTTAAGTTTGGAGGAGCAAACTTTCTAAGGAGGGAAGGCTGTGACAACCCCACCACGCATAGTAATTAGCATTTAATTAATTAAGGAGATTTGAATTTTAATTGCTCATTATTCTAATTTAATTTGGGATTTATGAAAATTATGAAGACTGATTCATATACAATTCTATTCAGGATTTATTTTGGAATTAGAAATTGAAAGCCTAAATGGCTCAAGAGAGTATAATTAATAAATTGAATTATTTTAATTTCGACCATATGAGAGTTTAATTAAATATTTGATACAATTTAGTAAAATTGAGATTTTATTAAGTGGGTCTGAATTGGAACTAATTAAGTTATGAAGATTAGGAACTAAGATTATGATGAATTAAATTTATTTATGAGGTGTTCGATTGAATATGTAATTTAACGACGGAAATTTTGAGTTTGATCTGAAATTGAAGGCCTTAAAGATTTGGGAAACTAAATTTGATGATGGAAATAAGTTTAATTTGATATTTGAAGCCTTTTGGGAGTTCGATTTAAAATCTGATTCAAATTAATAAATTAAATATAATTAATTGGGCTATAATGGAAGTCAAATTAGACTGATTAAATTATGTGAAGTTTGTGATTAGTTATGATTAATTCAATTATGTGTTAATCAATATTTATTAAGACTAAATGTTGCTTAATTAAATTAATCCTAAACATAAATTGAATTATAGAAGAGTCTAGAATTGAGAGTGTATGTGTGTGCATGTGAGTGTTGTGTTGGAAGCTCAAGAAGTGTGCGCGTGTGCTGGTGTAGGGTCAACAAGAGAGGCATGTGTGTGTGTGTATGTTGAGTTAAGAGTGTCGGATCATTCATCTGTTGTACTAGAAGAAAGAAGAAAAAAAAAAGGGGGGCAAGGAAAGAAAGAGACGAAAATCGAGAGAGAGAGAGAGAGAGGGAGATATCAACTCTATGTGCTGAAATGATGAAGGAAAGCAAGGAAAAAGCTTGGAAAAGGTGAAGAATGGAAGAAAGACTCAAGAAATTGTGAAGAAACTCATCAAATTGAAGGTTTTAAGTAAGAAATGAAAGCTCAAATCTAGTAGATAAATCATTTAGAAGTTGAAATTAAGAGATAGTTAGGTTCAATTTCATGTAAATAAAAAGAAATTAGGAAAGGATGAAGTAATTTGAAAATTAATTATATAAACTGATAGGAATCATGTTTTTCATGTTAAATCATGTTAGGATGAAGAATATGAGTTATGATTCTTTAAATCTGTTAAGTTTGAGTTCAATTTTGAGAATTATTCTTGAATTGAGTTCTACAAATTACATGCAACAAGAATTGTTTGAAGATTTGATCCATACAATGGAGTATATAAATGACTTTGAAGAAAAAGTTTTAAAAATCATAAGTTCATGAAATTTGAGAGTTTGATTTTGCAATTAAAGGAAGTTTTGATTTAAATGAGTTGAAGATTGATCATGGCTCATATTTATTTTCATGTTTTGATGAATTTTTGCGTGAGTTTGAGCATGAAACTGGGTTTTGAAAGCTTAATTTATGATTTTAGAATTTATGAGTTTGGAATTAGGTTTGATATGAAGAAAATGAACTAAATCTAACTTTGGACGAATAAGAAATAAATTATGATTTATATTTGAGAATCAAGGATTGATTTGATTTTGATTTGACTTTCATGTATGCAACATTGTTTTCAAAGAGCTTTATAGCGATTTCGGTTTTCCCTTTCTGTATTTGTTGTATTCCGGACTTTGGTTCCGTTGAATTGGTGGTTGTGTACCTTGTTGTCATCTTTTAATTCTGTATGTT